ACGTTGCTCAGTGGCATTATCTGCAGCCTAGTTTTGCAAGCCACCAGCAGTCAAAAGTTCAAAATCTAGCACGAGCTCATGTGCATGTGAATAGGTAGAAAAGACCCAATAAGATGAAACGATCATCAGGCGCTTTTTCGAATTGGTGGCATACCCCTCCTGCCTCTAATCTACTTGCTATGGACAAACTAAAATCATATATAATTTCGTCCACACACTACTGTTCTATACCTAAGCCTTAACGGTCTTCGGAATACTGTGTGGATTATCGGCGCTGTCAAGATTAGCCTTTAGCCGGTCTGCCAACCACTGTTCTCTGAACGAGGGCCAACCTGCACTGCGGTGAAGAATGGGTCGTGCTCAATCGCAATTAGATTTTCGTCCTTATTTCTCAGCTACCATCCTTCAGTGTTCATCCGTATAAAACGCTAGAAAATGTTGCAAGCTGCTAGAGTTATTGGGTTATGTAAGCAGCAGGGTGTTGAGGAAATGCACTCCAGAGACCAGTCCCAATAGGGCAAAACGATGATCCGGATTGGTAGCTCACATCAGTGGCCCGGAAGTTACTTGAGTTGGAGCAAATAAACTGGGCATGGTACGTCTTGTTTCAGTGGTTAAACATAGTACCAAGGCTAAAAGAAGAGAAAAATTGACCACACTTGCAACGCAAACACTTTAACTGTTTAAGGTCCTCAAAGTAGTAGTGCCGATTAAGCAACTAACTCGATAAGGCTATAAAAATATTAGCAACAGAGCAATCTAATTAAACGTAGTTGATACGCTATAGTGTATACTAGTTTACAGGCAACCTCAAGCATATTACTAATAATTTAGCATAGTAAAAAAGCAAAATAACCTCTTGTTTATTCAAGCTCAGGTGGGAATCAAACTATTTGCTCCATGCGGGATTACATGCATAGACAATCAGTGACGCCCTCGTTGGTTATGTGCATTTGGCCAATTGAACTCTCTGGATGTAAGAGCACTGCTGGATGTATGCATCCATATGGGTAAGGTATGCTCCCGATTAAGTTGACACAATAGTGTTAACGGAGGGCAGCCATGGATGAGAGTGTCAGTGCTCATGTTCACTAACGGTACGCCTGATTATAGCTGTTCAACCTAGGATGAGGTATTTGTCCGTTCTCCCTCAGCACTTTATTAACAGCTATTTTGTCGGAAAGAGTTACATTTGTTAGTATTCTGACCCGGCAGGTAGCCAGTGACCCTGTGCTACATTCCCAGCGTTTGTCCAAACAGTCCTTAACGTATAGAGCACACTATATGTGATTGCTCCAATGTGCACAGTACCAGTAACACATTTTGGTTCCAGGTTACTATCGGCTCTGGCTGAAACTATACACCGCATGGAGGTAATAAAACTAATATCGAGCATCTTTCTCATCAGGTAAAAATCTGTGCTAATATTTATCACAGAACATACACGCACAGGGGATATCATGCTCTTGAAATATAGTAGCAAGTTTTCTTCTTACATTTATTTGCATTTCTGGCAAGTTATTTTTCACTTATGTTGTTCGAATTTGATGCCAGGAGGCAACTTTGAAATTTGAGTATGTTGTAGACACTGAGGACAAAGTACATTGTGTAAATTGGTGATATCGTATCCATTAAAAGGTACCTAAGCTTTCATTGAATATAGGTTCAAAAAAGAAACGACATAATGGTGTGCAGGGAGAGATAGCTTCCTAACGTACTGCGAAAGGATTGTAAGGCTCAAACCTCCTGAGGACGAATGGCAACTGATTCCACAGAGGTACCTATATATTGGGAAGAAACTTAAGCTATAAATATGTCTTGCATCTGGGTCTAATCAGGGTAAGGTATTTTTATTCAGGTGTTGCGTATATTTGTGCTTGAAATGTAATATGAACCGATTGCAATATTTGTCGCCATGTATCAGCTTGTGCAGCGATCTCCAGTTACCTATTAGTCTTCCCGACTAAAGCGCATCAATATAAAATTTCTGGCGACACTTCCGATGGTTTATCATCGGATGGTTTTTCTATACTATCTTCATAAATTACAGTTGAAGGCTTTTTATCGACGTTCCGTCAGATATCCATATAATGCCTCATATGACGTTGCTATAATCCAGGATGGTACGGTTAGGGATTTTAAATGGTTCAACTAGAGCTGTGATTGTATGCATGTTATGCGAGATGTTAACAAAGGATTGTCTGACTAGTGCTAGCTGGTACTCAATCTTTTCTAAGTATATAGATCTACAAGTTTACTAGTAAAACGTTGCACACAGATGCGTTCGTTGTTACTGGTAATAAATAAGTCGGGTATCAAGCGACCGCGACATAGCATACTTGACTGTTTTCTTTGCAATGTCACCATCCACTTGTCGTACCATGTCTCAAGCGAATAAATGGATTCATGTATGAGTGCTAGGATATTCAGAAGAACAACGCCTCGGTGCTTGTGGACAAATGTTGTGTAATCGACAAATAAATATTGCACCCCATGTTGGTTAACCGAACTTTTATCATTTTTGGCTTTAAATGGGTCAAGCAAGAACTCCAGGCTACGCTATTGTCATGGAGGCGTAGCCGCTGACTACCATTGGCATTCTAGCAGGCCCTAGTCTAACGACGTCATTACAATTCGAGAAACATAAGGGGATAGCACGGCTGGCTGCCCAACGGACGATAACATGATTAAGTCACGCCGGAAGCTAAGGAAATCAAAGTAGCATCGTCGCAATGTTAGTATGATGCGCACGGCATCCTATCAATAGCCCGATAATCAAAGACCGTACCAGAGTCGAACCTATCCAGACAGGAAGTGCAAGTTGCTCGTGACAGACCGCAGATCATCATACCTATAAACTTAAACGTGTCCTGTTCCTAAAATACTTCGGTCTAGCTGGCTCGATGTTCTGATTTGCCCCCGGATAGGTTCGCTTGACAGAAAGCGGAGGGAAGCAGAGTCGCAACATTTGCTTAATGAACTGGTCGTGAATCAGAGCTAAGTGTTATGGCTTCGTTAAAACATTAGTGCTCCGTATGGTGGCGCAAACATCAAGTGATATTATGGATGTCACAGGCAATTCTTATGATTTTAATGGGAAGGACGCCGTCTCTTACAAGGGCGTGAAATATTAGTGGGTGTGAAACCGGTGAATACAATCGTAAATACCCGCCAACAATTCCCGTACACTGATGCTACGGAGACTGAAATTAGAATACCAGGCTATCCCATGTTGGCTTTATTCCAATCAAGGTAGCATAGGTGCCAGAAATTTAGGGAAAATTTGCGTCAGGCCATTTGATTGGAATTGTTACCCGAATTGCCACCCGTAGCAGCTCTCACCTGGTAACAAATTATTGTGTCCCCTTAATAGGAATACTGACTGCATAACAGTTCTCTCTATTAATTGGCGAGTGCGTCCACACGCGGTAGTACGAAACGTCACACAATGAGGGGCAGTGTATCACCGTGTACGGTTGCGAACTGTCGTGGCAAGAATGCAAAGCTTGTGAACGCCATAGCCACCGATGCATTGAGTGGGTAACTTGTGAGGTTAGCTCGATCTCCGCTTAAAACGCGCACTGAAAATAGTAGGATTTAAGGATGTACTGATGAAACGATTGCTGACCATGAAATTTTTGAGAAGCAACAGCAAAATTTTACGTTAATTCTCACTATTTAGCTAAATTAACGAACGGGAGAAAATATAGATTTAATAGCGCGGCTTAGCCACTTTGAATGCCATCTGCTACATTTCCGTCTGCTTTGTACTTTTTAGATTACCCCTACTTAGTATACAAATTTCGCCTCTTACTTGAGCAAATGTTGAAAGATATATATACGCTTCAGGCAATTTTTGTTATGTGTTTAGTTATTTTTTCACAGCGGAAATACGTAGCACAATATGAGCAATTTGCTAGCAGCATTGCTTTAAAATACGACACAAATGCTTTTGCTTTTGTAGGAAAAAGTACGGAGTCCACAAATTTATGGAAGATATTTAACATTGCTTGGCTTAAATTGCGCATCGCTCAAAAATTGACATTGTGCAACATTCCAGACTTTGGCCTAACTGTAATAAGCCATCATTTTATATTAGGTACCGTTATATATAAACAATGTTAAACAAGGTAGTGCCCACTTAGCTACGGTTTAAGCGCTAAGTTGCATGTTCTCTATTTTTACGATAATTATATATATATATATATAAATTTTATATAATTAATTAACCCTAGATATATCTTTTTCCTTACACTACCAGGTAACCCGTAAAACAAAATTTGCCCTCCTTACCATTGTTTTAATACACAAACGTGGCTAGAGGAAGCAGCAACGAGTAGTTTTAATGTCACGTTTCCGAGTATTGAGGGCTTTTAGCAGTTGTGTAAATCAAAAAACTAGTAACCAATTGCGAAAAAGTGAAACTGCCGATCGCAGTTTAGCACGCAATCAACGGTACATTAATTGAAAGCTTTAATGGCTGTTACCTTGAATTATCTTGTTATTTCGTTTGAGATGGGAACCAAAACATTTGTCGCATTAAAGTTTCCTAGAACCTAGTCTAGTACCGTAAGCACCTCGCAGTTGGATTACTAATAAAGACCAGATGAAGAATTGTTTCCATGCTACTATATTAGCTCCGGTATTTTCCTGCAATTTTGAATGCGCTGTATGTTACTGACCAGAAAACATGGCACTACATTACATTATCTTTAGGACGGGGACTATGCAACCATCATTTTAAGCATTTTAGTAAGCGTCAGGTGGATGATTTTGGCCGTAGAATGTCAGCAATCCTATCTGTTTTGCTTAGTTACAGAAACCTTTCAGCATGGCTTGCATCGGTGTGTAAACTGTGAATTATTGGTGGTTGGAGAACAATTTATGGCTAAATACAGAATGAAATAATATTGGTCGAATTACTTAGGTTTAACCTTATGCTTAACGGATGATTAAACACAGCTTCATGCTCAGTTCCACTACAAAAATCCACTTCTTTTATGATGCCAGAAATATTTGCAAGACGACTCATCGTAACAATCAATAATAGCACCAGTCCGTTAGGTTTTTTAAATAAGGTCAAATTCCAGGAAGAAATCCATGTGTTAATGAGCTCACGTAATTCTCACTTAGCAGAATCGGGCACGTTCACTTTACAACCAACCAAATCCGCAGAGGACTTTTTCATTTGCAAAGTTTGTCATACATTGCATATTGGTCCAATTCTTCGTTACAAAGATTATGCTTAATGAATAAACGGTTGTTAGCGTTGCCTACTATTTATAAATTTTACACTTATTCCAAGCGTAACTTAATCGCAAACTTTAAAAAGATGTATAATATTTATTTGCAAGCGTTATTAAATAGAAGTTATTGCATGTAACATTCGCTGAAACATAGAGTAAAAATCTGGTTAGTGTTTGCATCTTCATGACAAGTGTTTGACTTTAATTTACAGGCCAGTTTGTCTGACGAGTGTAGTAGTCACACTCTTCGAGAAACTGGTGCAAGATTCTTTGGGGAGTCATCTGAGTAGATTTAATCTACATAGCGATGTACAGCACGGATTCCGGAAGCGATTTTTGTGCCTGATGAATCCATTGGTGGTTCGCGAAAGTTGGGAGGATGCAGTGGATAACGACCAAGCACTGAACTTGCTTTTCGTCGACTGTTTGATGGCCTTTGACAGGTTACCTCATTTCAGGCTATCTCAAATCTGACCTGCTACCGTGTATCTGGCCACGCCGTTTATTGTTTGACTGCCTTCTTGAATGGTAGAGAACATTGTGTACGGGTAGGCCGTTGTCCATCGTTTAGGCAGGCTATCTTCATTAATGTGCTGCGAGAAACTTTCCTTGGACTGCTGCTGTTCTCTATCTATTTGAATGACATATACACGGAGCTTGAGGTACAATCGCTGCTTTTTCTGAAGAAATGAAGCCGTGAAACTTGTCGATATTCATGGGGTTCTGAAGATATTCAACAAAAATTAGATAAGCTTTGGGACTGGTCAACTTTATGGTTATTGCCTACAAATCAGACAAAGTGCTGATTTCTTTGAATTGGAGGAGGTGGTCTTTCTTGGATTTTCTTGATCGGTTGGGTCGAACTCCACCGTGTATCTGGCCATGTTGATCTAGGCGTCGCGCAATCTTCGGCACTACACTCCAGCGAAAAATGAAAGAAGGCCGCAACCACAGCTTTCCGCACGTAGTGGTTAATTCGACGTTCTTTCGGAGTCTTGACGTGCTGTTCCTTTACGAGACATTCCTCAGATTTCTTGTGGCCTACTCTGGAATACTGCATCCAGGCTTGTCCCTGCTCTTTTGTTTGGGACAACTTGAATCTAGAGTGGGTTTTACTAGTAAGTACAAGGCTAATTGAGGAATTAAGGGAGTGAACATATCCCGACTGCCCACTTACTTTGGGAATGCATTCAAATGCACTGCCGAATGTTTAGATTAGACCGTATCTTAACTAGCAGTGTAGTCCAGATTTATCTTAACTATTCGGCCCAGCTAGATTGTCTGTTCAAAGTGGTCATTCCTAGAAAGTGGACAAACCGCTGGCAGATCGGATTTAGATGGGAATCCGGCTGTCACGACAAATACTCGAGCGCTGTAACACGCTTCCGGAAAGTGTTCTCAGGAAATTTACGGTTAAGGACTTTGAGCTGAAATCTGACGCTCTTGGGTGGCAGAAGGAGACAATTCCATTTTCCTGAGTAACTCGCATCTTGTTGCTTTTTTTACTTTTGTTTACATTTTTTTGCATTGGGAGTATTTTACTATTTTAAGTGGACTTCCTTTTCTGTAGCATCGATCTCTCTTCCTTGCTTTGCGTACTTTAGTAGACTGCCACAGCAGTTACTGCTAGGACAGAAAACGTGAGCATTAACTGGTTGGCCAGGGGACGGTAGGGTGCAATAAGTTATAGGTTTCATCAATTCCTGGCTAAACGATCTACCCACATTGTAACACTCACGGGAATCTCCTATCATTCCAGTCCCAGCCGAACTTGAACTATAAGTCGATCAAACCTGAAAGTGTAAATTACAGGTATAAGCCACAGGATAAAGATAGCTAAGACTTTGGTATTATGCAGCAAATATAGTTCAAATGCTTTTATCAAGTAACGGATATATGATGAATAGGTTGCGCAAAGTTCATGATCAGTTAATTGTCAATTAAGCATACGCATGCATTGTAAAATCATCCACAAGTTTGTAAACTGGCAAAGCTTTCTTTAATCCCAAAGAGTTTAATCAAGACCACTTGCTTTTTTGAATGAAAGCAACTTGTATTATTAACTAAGGCAATTGCGCATTTAATACTTTACTGATTCCAGATGCATATACTTAACAATACCAAATTCAATTCCGATTTTTGGAGAACATTTGTGACCCGGTGATGTTAATAATATATAAAAACCTGAAAACATAAAGTTCAGGTAATAGTATGGGGAGCTGGTGGACGTTATTAGATAAGTAAATATATGCCGTGCGATTAAAAGGCGGCCCGTCAATACGTGCTTGGGTATCCTATTGGCAGCTTAACTTAAAATGTGCCACGCTTGTCTTAGATGCATAGAAACAAATCGGTATATGAACAGGACACCATTGCTCAATTTGCTTCAGCATGTTTGGTCTGTGTACCCTAATCCGGTTTGAGAAAACATACAATATATAATTGCCAAAATACCTGGCTGCAGCTGTGAAAAGATAAGTAGTCTCTAACATAACAACTCACTCGACACCTTAGAACACTTGAGATGTTTCATCAAACGCAGTAAATGAAACGCGCTGAGCCTAAAATTATTGTTTGAACAAAATGCTCACACATTATAGCTCATATCGCTTAAAAATTAAATGAATCTCTGCTAGTCATCGGAGTTAAATTACGTAGGTTTCCTATTTGAAAATTATGTTAGCAGCTGCATCCAAGCGCTTAACGAGGAATATTGGAATTTAGTCACTGCAAACAATTAAAAAGAATTAATCGTTTTTCAGGACGACAACGCTGTATCTTTGGAAGTAAGTTTTTAAATGAAACATGCATAGTACATTTTACTTATAGCGCTTATAAAATCCGGGTACATTTGTCGCTTTGTCACATAACTTAGAATGCTTCTGTATATTTTGTGTCATTAGGATTGTCATAAACTAACAGCTAATTACAAAATAATTGATTTTACACATTAGCATTGCACATGTAGAAAGTTGCTAAACGCAATGTACAAAGCTGCTGGTGCTCAAATATAAGAAAGATTGCGACGTTGGATTGGTATCTATTACCAAATTCCCTTAATCTTGATGCTGGTGAGAAAAGGAGTGGGTGCATATTATTTAGGAAAAAAGCATACATAAACCGTAGTCAATATGCAACTAAAATGAGCACGGTCAGAGTAGTCAAATTTACAGCATTAACCCATTACCCAGTTCATGCAAAGTAAAAACCTGCAACTTTATTTTTGTTAAATGTTGTAGCTGATATCCCTCAGAAATATCTTGCTCTCCATATAAAATATGCTTCAGCATATGAACGCGTTTAGCCAAAAGCACACGATGCAAATGTAAGAGGTGGCCAAATTACTTTTTAATGCTAAGTGCATTAAGAAAGTACAATTAGCAGTACCATTTCAGGTTTATAATTTTTGGATAATTTAGTAAAATGCTGCGTGTTACTAAAAGCGAATAGAATAATTGATTTATTTAGCAAAGTTAACTTGTAACATGGGTTTTGAAGACGAAAAATTCATTCATGCTCCGAGGACACTTTGCATTTGTGCTCCTGTCTCAATTGAAACCCGGCTATATGAAATTCCGAATTGTGATTCATGAACTATAACACTCTTGTTAAAGGTAAATGAAATTAAATGAAACGTTCTTTGTATTTGACAGAATGTAATGAAGCGGCTTTACATTTGCGAATAACAGGCCTTACTGGAGAGTGAATTTTTATTAATTTTTACCGTTAACAACAGGCATAATCATAGTATGATAAGCGTTCCTTGTGCTATAAACTAAACCTGCACATGGGTTTATTAGCTTGTTTGTGAGGGTTCCTTGCAGCTAGACAGGCAGACAGTCGCCACACATCTAGGAAAGCGCTAGTCGGCCGTTGTGTACTATTTAGACTCGCCAATATATTGTCCATGGTGAAGTCTGCAAGCTGTGAAACCAGTAGCTTACTCCTGCGAGTCAGAGAGTTATGCCACTCTAATGAGTGACAGCGGAGAACCGCCATGGCAGATAGCTAAATCCGAGACAGCGCGGCTCATCCTACACTATCATTCTTATTATAAAATTGCATAAAAATGATTTTTTTTACAAGGCGCCAACAATATATTGGGCATGCAAGCTACTAAAAAGATTAATGATTAGGTCTACGTTGTAGGGAGATTTATTGGATTTTGTGTATAATCTTCACAGCTAGACCCAAGCAGATAGCTATCACAAATCAAGGAATTAAATTTATCATTATGAAGTTATATTGTGTCCGATCCAAAGTGCAGTAAAGTTTGATTTGTCTGTAGAGATGCTCTTTGTATTAGATTGCAATCTTTCTGTTACTGGCAGCAACCGCATACTGAGAATTTGTCCATTTTCCTGCATATATATCGATGATTATCCGTGCCGTCGACTTTTTATTAACCGATCATTTGGTTTGCCAGTGGATTGCAATCGACCGCCATATGTTAGTTTTACTCAATATGTTTATCAACATATTTCAATCTACCTAAACGAATTTAGTTTCCGTGAACAAGCTCAATGAAAGTAAGTCTGTATTTTTGTCAGTATGGCATGATAACGAATGCGTATCCGGCGGATAGCTGTGTTATTGACGCAACAAGTATAATAGATTTACAACTACAGCTGTCCATAAGAAATAAAATGGTAATGTATTCACCGTGAGATAATTGGGATGTAATACTATTTGTGATCCGTTGCACAGTGGCTGCGAACGTCATCGATATACCTTGGCAACCTACTGGTTGCATCGTGTAAGAGACAATGGAACAAACAGCCCATTTTAACTACATGTAATTGTAAAATAATGATGCAAATAGTTCGCTAAAGTTTTATTATGATAACATGATACACTATAGTTAAAATTTTACTATTAAAATACAACAGTTCATCTTTGCGATTATCATAAATATATAGCCATATGCCCACGACAGCCATTTTTCTATACTAAACAGTATAAAAATTCAAATTCGACCTTTTCCTTTTTGCAGCTTTTGACTTGCATGACTACAAAAAGAATGAAGAGGGTAAGAGTAAAATAAGTATATGCAATAATTTTTAGTATTTGCATAATTTCCAAGGGATTCTAAATTGATATTTGTGGTTTATTTATTTGTTAGGCTCAGAATTTTGACTTGCGCATTTAGTCGCGAGAATCATTCACGGCAGCTACGTCCCAAAGCGATTTTCTAATTACGGTTAATTCTTCTACGCAGTTTAAGTAGAAAATTTTGTGTATATCATAAACAGTTGCTACAGCCCACAATTCCCCATCCTTAATTTCGCAATGAGGGTGTCACCGTTAAGTCACATCACGAGATTACACTTTCCCTCCCTCTAACTGCAGAAATTTGCTCCCAATTCTCCTTGCAAGCGCCGTTAATGTGCTCATTGGCACCAGATCAAAGAGCATTAGGTATTGAACTCCGCCTGTTGCATCTACTCCGCGGGGATCAGCCTTTACGATAGGTGTCATCTGAATCGCACTAGCACTAACAAAGCCGTCGTATGTTTCAACGCGGGATCCGGGAAGTAAGCGTATTCCAAAACTCGCTTAAAGTCCACATTTGCCTGTCCACACATACAACCGGACTATATGAACCACACTGCAGTAACCCTTGGGGTTGACTATCACCTACCTCAGACCCAGCAATTGATCAATTACAAACTCGACGGTAATGAAACTATGGAAAATGAGTTTGGGCTAATATAGGTGAATTCAAAGATTTTAAGGAAGCGCATAGGTTAAGGTGCAAAATGTAAGCGTCTTGTGAAATTAGAAGTGGCCTGCGCGTTATGCATCAAGCAATACTAAGTCATTCACGCAGAGCTTTCTCAAAGAAAAACGTGTGAACGGCGCAACTATTCACATGTCTTTTCGTATTACATTACATGTTTGAGCATAGCATACATCAGATGTGTGCAAGTACCTGTAAATAAAACGGTCATGACTAAAGGCCAAACAGTGCACAAACCCTAGGTTCCGTCCTCTGGAGGATTGGATGCACCAATAAAGAGTGGCAAGAACAAACCTCAAGATGCGCAGGCGAAAGCATATCCTAGAAACATCGCCGGCTTTTATGCTACTTTTGGAGATCGTAAGGTTAATACAGACGGGGTTTTCGTAGTCAAAAAGTCAATATGACTAACATAATCGGCCGTCGCTGGAAATAGGCAACGTATCGATTCAAGGCAGCTACTATAGGTAGTAGGAATTGAACAGTCGAATATAGATACGTTGCAGCCGCAGCCGCATATGAGGCTAAGACACAGGTACGGTAAACCATGGAAGGCGAAGTACGTCGGCCGCTGTAACTGTAATCCGAAAACGGACAAGCAGCGAATTTCCACATAATTCGGCGACTCCCAATTCATCTCAAATTTGATGCCCTAGAGCAACTCTGTGACAGATGTTCTAACTACCTGGCGGTTGTGCAACACTGTATTTCCAATACGTATGTTATGCGATCATCCCATCGCGAACAGAGACGAATTTCTTATCAAAACGCACTATCATTCGCTACCCGCCTTTATCAAGGAGCTGATAAAGCACTGATGTCCCTTTGTAAATCTTTGTGGGAATGTCTAGCACTTTTGTAACAAACGCAACAGAAAATGAGAAGTGTAGCGCAAAAGGGTAAGTCCCTTCTGAAAAGAGCGAAGCCGAAACGTATTTTTTGTAGGATACAAGTTGGCAAACATAAAAGCCAACCAGAACACCGAGAACCTATATAACCAAGTGGAATCATTGTATCAGCCAAAACAGCGAGGATAAATTGTAATATCAGCATGAGTTAAAGTGTAGATTCTGCTCTAACTCCAAGCTAATTTAAAAGCATGTCAACAAACCCCGTGAAATAGAGCTTCGTATCCACTCGCTGAACACCACATACAGGCAAAGGCAACCTGCACACGAACCGGCCAACGCAATTTAACAGCAATTCCTTTGTACTATACAGGACTCGCTAATGCCCCCATAACATTCCTACACCGATTACACTAGCAGCCAGGCTTGACCACATCCCATGTATTGCCGCGAACGTATTGAAGCGACTATTGTCAATACGTGTGCAAAGTTCTCCTGGTGAGGACAAAGTTAGCCCAAGCTCATTGAATGTAACAGCCAGTAGCCAAGTGGAAAGGTTGTTTCGGTTTGTTCAACGCAGCCTAAAAGACGTGCAGTTCCGTCAACGTGAAAGCATGGAGTAGTCAACCCTATTTACAGGACAACCGCGATGTACCAAAAAACTACGGCCCGAGTACTCTTCTCCCACTTCATTTTAAGGTCAAATCCGCCATTGCAGTTGCCCTCATGGAATACTTAGAGAGACGCAATAACATCCTACCGGATTAACAAGGTTTCCAGTGAGAGCGCTCAAATACCACGAACCTCTCTTTTGTCGGTGCCATCTGGACGGAATCTGTCAACCCTAGATAGGGATTTAAGGCTGATACCTCTGTTGATCGAAAAGGTTTGACCGTTGTGATTACATCTTACTTTACAAGCTTCAAAGCTGCAGAATGGGCGATTCCATTCAGGATTGGATACGCGCAACCGATTTTGACTTCACCAATACGCGTAGACACGTCGAGCCTCATTTAACCAGATAGAGATGAAAGGACACCCTAAAATGCTCGGTTCTATGACCAAGCATTTTCTCACCTTCATTAACGACCATTGGCAGTGATAAGTTCAAAGTTTAACTCTTCGCAGATGATCCAAAAAATCAGCGGAATATAAGCATGGTAAATGATCACGTAATCTTACAGTGTAATTAGGACTGAGCTCAAGGTAAGTCAGTTTAGCACGTGCTGGCGTTCAACGCTGCTGAACGTGAAGCACTAAGTATACGTTACCAGAGAACTTACGCAAAACGGCTAGGAAAACACATGATGTAACGCGTCATTTATGAGAATAAGCATGGCCAGTGCAGAACAACATTTTGCCAAAATAAAATATAACGCCCTACCAGCCATCGACCTATTAGTTCACGCCCGCTGATAAATTTGCGCCCTTGCGCCTGCTCTGGTTGACGACTTGGCCAACCAGAAAGGAGAAAAATCAGAAGACCTAGTTGACCAGATTTCTATTAGAACCGAGGGGGCTCATATTTATGGCTAGATATCACCAGTCCTCTAAACACTGCTTGGCGTATTTGGCTACCTTTCTTCCTCGTACGCTCATGCTCCACAATCGACTGTCCGCTCCGGCAGCTCAGTTCACTGGCTTGCTCAGGCAGGTCAGTCTTCATCCGCCAACCTTGGGCATGGCAACTTACATGATGGCTGACGCGCGATTTCATCAACCTTCGGCTAAGTCGTGACCATACGCTCGCGGGGTTTGTCCTCGCTTTGTGACAAACACCCGCGCGTTGGCAATCAACTTTCTCGCCCACCTGTTACCTCCCTTTCCGAAATGAGTCAGTTTGCCAGCCATACGAAGCTGATATCCTTGGTAGCTTTTCGCCCGGATATCGATTTGCAACCTTTGTTGTCTACTCCGATTCCGAGCCGGTCTGTGTTGTGCCTATGAGGCTTGCAGCATTTGTTGTGCCTTAGCGAGTTGCTGACTATTAATTGTCCCAAAGTAAAGCTGGTGGTTCTTGGGGACTTCGGGTTTTGCCATGGTTCGGTCTCAGCTAATTAAGGTAAATTATCTACTTCTAACGTAAAGCCATCACTACGTGGATAACTGCCATTCCTGACGACAGCAGTTCCGCCAGAAAACCATTTTGGCTTTCGAAAATTCCGGGTGTAAACAATGTCACCAACACTGAAGTTACCGGGCTTGATTTTGCGATCTACCTACGGGTGACAACTGCCGTGCTTTTTAGTCTCCTTGGATATGCTTATTGAACAACGTCCTGCTCTTCCTTCCATATATTACTTCTCTGGGGGATTTCCCATCAGGGGCGTTTGGCTTCAATGCTTTACGATACATGCATAAGAAAATTGCATTGCATACCCGAAGCCCTTTTTTGCCATGCTTTACAAAGTGCACGTTTGAACGTATCCAAGAACCTTTCCGCCTGTCCGTTTGTTTGCGGAATATATAGTAACGAGAGCATCTGCCGATTACCCTTTTCTTTGCATCACTAGCGAAAGAAACTGGAGTTGAATGGCGTTCCATTGTCTGTCATTAACGTCTAGCCGGCCATAATATCCGAAGTGCTTCTGAAGCTAGTTAACAGTGTACTGAGGAGTCAAGGAATATTTTACCGGAATCTTCTCAGGCCACTTGGTGGTTGAGTCCATCAGTGCGGGATATGATTAGACATTTATTGGTCCTGCATAGTGTAATTGTATTCGTTATAACGGTTAATCTGATTTAGGCCAAGGTGGCCACCGACACTTGGGAGGGCATCCAATGTAAATGGGCAAGATGCACACGATGAGCAATGAAAAATAAACGTATACGTGTTAAGAAGCTTTGCTTTACAAGTCCCGTTGTAATGTTGGTGGAGATATCAACATAATACAAATGATGATAGTGATAGTAAAATAGTTAATACTTTAAATATGAAAATAAGGACTTATCGTTTGCACTGCTGTAATCCTGCGATCCTCATAGATTCCCAGCACCAACAGTTAACAACAAATAATTCCATGGTATACTACAGGTGTAGGATGGTGACTTAGTGATAAGTAACAAAGCGTAAGTGGATGAATGCGTCGTCCAACCGTCTTTTAAATACTGTTATTGTCGGTGCAAAGGCGACCGATTCTGGGAGAGCATTCCACGGGTGGCAGACACGAACGGAAAACAACTTTCTGTGGCGTTCCAGATGACGGTATTGTTCTGCCGGTTTTAATGATTGGCCCCTTAGTTTTGTATTGAAGCTGTTGCAGTAAATGGCGGCACACATGTTGTGGGTCACGCAGAAGCAAGTATGCCATAAGCAGGTCACCTCGTATTCTGCGATAGCTTCCACTGAACAATCCCAGTCTCTGTAGCCTCTCCTGGTAGGATAGATTGCGCATGCCAATTACGTTCTTAGATGCCCGGCGTTATGGCTGCTTCAGTGCATCAAGGTCGTGTTTCAGCCATAAATGCCAGGCTTG